TCACATGGTGAAAAACATCATAAAATATGATGAAAAATATGATCAACATGATGAAAAGTCATCATGTCAACATGATGAAAAGTTATCATAAAACATGATGAAAAGTCATCATGAAACATGATGAAAAATCATCATAAAACATGATAAAAAGTTATCAACCTTTTGACTTAGTACGGCTTGCCATAGTATTGTAACATCTACAGAATTTTTAACTTGTTTAGATTTTTTTTTTATCGATGGTAGCACAAATTTCAGTGACGCAGACAAACGGACTTCGCACGTGATCCAATATGTGATTAACGTACTGTATACTGTATAGTGTAATTCCGGAATTACTCCTTTAACTGTAGCGTAGTTCTACCGTTTTAGTAGTTTAAATCGAAGGGTGAGGTCCTGTCCAGAGTGGATTTTATATCTTACAGGATTGGGATTGGTATCCGAGTATCTTATACTAGAATAGTTCTTCTTTATTTCTTTGTATCTAAATACCTATCAATGTATAGATCTCTGATCACTCCTCTTTATGAAATAAAATAAAATAAATAAATAATGCCGGAATTACCTAGTGAATTTATTTCAGGTTACGCTGGGGTAGTCTATATTTAGTTTAAGTGTATAATGTTTAGTGTTACATAGTTCTTGTGTTCATATTTATTTTTAGATTTGAGTATGGGAATTAGGATCGAGGAATTACTAAATTAGGAAAGGATATTAAAGATCAAAAAAGAGACATTTTGAAAAGTCGATAATTATAAAATATTGAAAAAGATATTTTTGGCATTCTGGCGATGAGAGGAAAAAAGGTTTGTTAAGGGTAAAATTTGAAAAAGTCAAAATTGAAAAACATCAAAAAGAAGAAAAGGTAAAAACAGAACACATTTTTGAACTTAGGATTTATTTTATTTATTTGATGAAAATCATTTGGTCAAAATAAGAAAAAAGGGAAATTCAATACACTTAGAATTTATTTTACGAAAATCATTTTAGTATAAAAAGGGAAAATAGTTGATTAATAAAAAGGGGATTTTTAGAATTCTATTTTTATAATTTTAGTATTATATTATTATTAAACCAAGCATTATATTATATTTGTTGAAATTTTATATTATTAATAAAATACCATTTTTGTCAAGATTGCGGCAACGTGGTTTACTACAGGCGTAGGTCTTACAATAGTCCTTCGCTTCGCTCCGGACAATTATTAATATATTCATCGCTCTATTTGATTCATAGTAAACGAAATCTTGGAAAAGTGACTTATAACTTGTCAGATTGCAAATGTAATAATGGATCCTATAAGCAAATAATGAGATTAGGTAAATTATACTTAGTAAATCTAAAAAAGTTTAGCTTAGAAATAAACCAATATCCAGATATTACAACACTGTATACACAAGGTAATAAGTAAATAAGGTAATTACGATTATATAGAAAAGATGTTACCTATGTATGTAGTGTATAGTGATGTGCACTATACGTTGATTTTGTGATTGTACGACATGATAAACATATTTTTTGTATGTATGTATACTAACCATACGTATGTGTTATGTGTATATATAAATGTATCCAGTGGCGCAGCATGTATTTACGAAGAACCACAACGCGTGAAAGTAAACAGTGGTGACAAATAAGGATTTTACCTACTCAAAAAAACAAAGTCCCTCAGATAAATATAAACAGCGCAAACCTGGTGGGATGTGATGATTGTAATGATTTAGAGGTATGTCACGTGATGGCTAAATTTTGCCGGTGCGGCTAGTAGACAGTTACTGCAGCTGCGCCTTATCATTTGTATTTATGTGCGTTTGGTCTCTTATTTCTTTCATACGTACGTACGTTTTGATTTAATTAGTATCATTTATTTGCCATGTATGTACGTACAGTACACTCAGTGCAACCATACGTACATAGCTAAAGAACACCATACACTACACACAAGGGTCTATACGCTACATGTTTCCTAATTGCCCGGTAATTACTAGGCCGGGAGACGGAAAACGTTGGAATGTCCGAAGCGCTGATGGATGGATCGTAAGTAGCACAGACAACTAAACGTATTACAGAACATACACGGAGTGTACACGACGAAGGTAGGAGCGGACGAGTTGACGAGTGGTAATACTAAAAGGAGTAAAACGAGTTAGCACGACAATAAAAGTGATTGGTGGATTACGTGTGCGGACAGACATACCTTGCATGAAGAGAGTCTAACCGCAAATGTCCTCAGCTAAAGCTTCGGACGAATTAACATTATTATTATGCAGGTCATGAAATTAATTTATGGCGCAAGCGCCATCATGTTTGCATTCTTATTCAATTTTAAAAAGATATACACACAAAAAAATTATTATTATATGCTCAATATATAAAAATAAAATTATAATAAACGCGTAAAAAAAATTTATTTATTACTAAAATGTTTAATGTCATTGTATTTTCATGTCCTACCGCTAAAAATGTTTATTTACAATTTATTACATTCCCAATCATCCTGCTTTTAATTACCGTATGCTTTTTTAAAGACAAAGTCTTCTATATGAAATAATTTGCACGTATAAGGCAAATTTTGCGCGCATAGGGTACGTACGCGCGGATATTAAATTGATGTACGTTGCGCGTACTGCGTTTACATCACTGGATTAGGAAATCATATTTAAAGGATTCCTTCTTTTGTAAAATACAGAAGAGAGCTTCAAATTTAAGGTAAGTAATATTAATATACTGTAATACTCTTCGTATAACAACAAAAAAAATTCACAAGAAAAATAATGTTATTAACAATTTAAAGTATTTTATCTCTTTATTGATAGCCTTAAATAAAAAAAATCAAATAAAACATAATAAATAAAATAATATAGATAGATATAATTTACAACTTTTCGTAGCAAGCTAATAATTGCTTAACTGATGATTAATGGTTAACAACATTTTTGAAATTGTTATATTACATACAATAGATGCTATTTAACTACTAAAACTCTAATTGTTAAAACTATTTTATCATTTAGTTTCAGTTAAATTGGCATCACTACTAATAAAAAAATTTGTTTGATTTAGCATAACTTTGAAAGCAACAGAAAAAATAATGATTAAATTAAATTTACCTTAATGAAAAAACCGAACATGAAGCATAATCTTTATTTGATGATGATATTTTTAAGGTTTTTTCCTTACAAATAGAACAGGTTTTATTGCATCTACATTCAACATATTCTATGGTAATATGGTCTCTACTTTGATTTAAATAAATAGGAGTGTAATTATTATCTCTTGTTAAAACTAAGCTAACGCATTTCGGATCTAAATTATTAGATTGCCGAGCGAATTTTTCTTTAAGATCAATATATGGTTTATTTCGCAATATATCTGAAATATAGGGAAATTGAAATTCAAAGGGAAGTAATTCATAGGTGAGAGAAGTAGGATTATTCGGGATAATAAGCGTGCAAAAAGTAAATTTAGGTAGTCTAACAAAACAATTTGTTTTTGAACAATAAGAAAAAGCATCTAATCTATATTTACTTTCCACATCTAATCGAGTATTGCAAAAATTATGTCCAATAACAAGAGAGTCATTTGAAGAATCCAAATTACTTAATATAGGAATTCCAAAAAAAGGAATGTTTTTTGTCATTAAATCATGTTCAAGTGGTAATTTTATACTACCAAATTCACGTTGATTTAGTGAATCGTATTCCGTTTTTATTAATTCTACACTAGTATCAGAAAGAATGAAACTAAAATCAATATCATAACCAATAATCATTAAACCAACTTTCAATTTATATTTACGACGATGAAATTGAAATTCCTTTTGAATGCCATGGATAATAACACTTGGTTTCCCTTCTTGATCGTAAAAAATTTTACAGTTAAAAAAAATATTTTCTGAATTTCCAGCATCAATGGCAGTTGCAAGGATATCACAATTAGCATCTTTACTTTTTTGAATAATTCTTGATATATGAGATGGCAATTTATTTAATTCAAAATGTCGGCATATTCCAGGTTCAAATAAAAAATAGTCACAATATTCAGTACCTGTATAAAGGATTTTTTTCCCAATTTTTATAAAGGATTCTTTACGTAAATCATCAGGTAGAAATTGAAATATACTAATAGGATTCCTGTATTCTATACACTCCCAATTTTGATAATCTTTCAAAGATTCGATCCAATTTTTTTCATCAAAATTTTCACCATCAGGATGCTTTCCTCCAAGTAATTTTAAGTGATTAAAGTCATAGAATTTTGAAATTTTCTTGGTATTACTATAATTTCCGTCTGCTATTTTTATATTCGCAGTTGCCGTTTTACTTTTGGAATTTCCTGATACCTTTCTGACATTTTCAAAATAAACTCTTCCTCCCAAAATAACTTTAGTTGGAATAAATTGACCATACTCCTTAATAATTTCCTTAAATTCTTCACTAGAGTTTTCAGATTTAATGGCATCATTCACTGCTTTAATGAACTCTTCGGTTGGTTTTAAATTAAAATTCAATGATGCTTTTTCAAATTCCGTATATTCATATACTGACTTGACTACTTCATTAAAAGTTTCATTTTGAAAATATGAAATTCCAACTGATAACCCGTATTTTACAAAACTATTTACATTAATATTATCAGTATTAACAAATAAATTTGTTTTTTTCATCCAATCTTCCTTCGATGTAAATACAAGTTTATCTTTTTTATATATTCCACTATCATTATGTTTTAAAACACAATTCTCCATCGTAAATGCTTTTTTATTAGCTCTCTTAATTCCATCAAAACTCATAGTACATCCATAATCTAATTTACATTTATCATTCAAAATATTACAATCAGGAATTGAATTTTTCTTTAGATATAAGAAAATATCAGTTGAATTATCATTAACTACTTTATCTATGATTTGTTCTAATAGCATTTTTTCTTCATATTCGCATACTACATCACTATATCTATATTCTACTTTATCTAATAGAGATTTTTCTTCATGTTCACGTACTACCCCACTATATTCACTTGCACTCGATACTTTTTTTACTTTTTTTGCAAAAAGTAACGTATTATCAATTATTCTAGATTTTGATTTTTCAAGTTCTTTGCGAATATCTGATAAATTATTTTTTAAATTTAAAAAGCAAAATTTGGAACTTTGTGATGGAAGGTGGCCTAGAGTTTTAATAACTTTTACGCAAATAGCTACTATGTCAGAATCGGAAGGCATTTTTAGAAAAAGTAATATATTTTTTTTTTTTTGTTTTTTNAGACAAAAAATTAGAATTCAAAAAAAAAAAAAAAAAAAAAAAAAAAAAATACTTATTTGTAACATTCAGTGTTTATGTAATCGATTATAAAACATCCGAAAATGGATATTGCTTCGAAACTAAACTCTATAAAGTTTTGTACAACCCTATGATTAATACACTATCACGCTAAAATCGTCATATGCATACTGCAGATCTACGGAGTCGCAACACTTTTTGACCATGTTTTGCAACGATACACAGAATCCACCAACCGAAAAAAGCGATAAATGGATATCATGGAGAACATCACATGATGTGATTTTTTTAATATATGACCAAAATTTTTTTGGATCAAATTTCATAAAATTCTTTTTTGAAAAATGGCAAGTAGTTCTAATACTGATACGGATAAATCAATTCAATGGATTGAGAATGGAATTAAGAATCGTTATCTAATTTATTATGAACGTAGTGAATTTCAAAATCAAGAATTTATAAGTGAGGGAACGTTTTATGTTTTGTATAAAACAAATTGGGGAAGTTTCAATACCGTTGTTACCTTAAAATCTTTTAAAGGTACATTTATTAAGGAGATTGTCAATGAGGTAAATAAGAAGAAAAAAAGTATTATTTGTTATTTGTCAAAAAAAAAACAAAAATAAAGGTAACACATTTTTTTTAGATACAATTGTTAAACGAAATTCATTTACATGCAAATATTATTAAATTTGTTGGTATTACTAAAAGAAAAAGTAAGTAATAAGTTTAGAATATCAAACATCTTGGTGTTTATGATGTATACACTTTTTTTTTTACAAATAATTCCTTTTATCAACTTCGATAAACGTTGGTTGCACGAATATTATTAATAAGTATGTTATCGTATTTCCAGATAATGAATTTAATAATGACTCGGATTATTCGCTTATCCTCGAATATGCGGACGGTGGTACATTGAGAAATTATTTAAAAGAAAATTTCGATAAATTAGATTTGAATATTAAGTTACAATTCGCTATACAAATTTCTGATGCAGTTTCATATTTACATCAAAAAAATATCATTCATTGTGGTTTGGTAAGTATTTTGTTTTAAATTTTTATTCAACTACTAAATATTATTATTGACGTTCATTTTTACTTTTATAAAATTAGAATTCAAAGAATATATTAGTTCATCAGAATAAGGTTAAATTAGCCGATTTTAGTCTTTCACGTAGATTAGATGAAATGTCAAGTCCTGTTAAGGGAGTTATTGAAATGTTACCTTATACCGATCCATTACTTTTTGAAGAACAAAAGGAACGAACAAATAATGAGCAATGTTATAAAGCAAATAAGAAATCGGACGTATATAGTGTTGGTTTGCTTCTATGGGAAATATTATCTGGACGATTACCGTTTGAATCCCGTTCACAAAAATTGATTTTGGAACTTCAAAATAGGAAAAGAGAAAGGCCAGTGCCTAGGATGGCCAATAAATATGTTGATATTTATACAGGTAACATATTATTTATTTTTTAAAAGTTGTTAATATTTATTTTTTTTTTTTAGTTTATTATAATATTGATATTCTTTAATTTAAAATAATATAGGTTGTTTGCAGAGTAATCCAAACGATAGACCAAATATTCGTGAAGTACTTTCAGACCTAAAATCACTAGAGATTTTACCGATGGAAATGGATGAAAACTCATTTGATTTAGATAATTATGAAGTACTTATTGATAGGATGTACGAAAAATTTCTTCAAGAAGGGGGTATTAATAAAGATAACTTTAACCTGTTAATTAATCAATATATTACATCAAATAACAACAATGAAAATGAAATATTAAAATATTTATCAGATAATATTGATAAACAGGAAAATATTATTCTCCTAGGAGAATTTTTCCGACAAGGAATAGGAACTGAAAAAGATGAAATTAAAGCATTTGAATTATATAAAGCAGCAGCTGAAAATGGCAATATTAAGTCAATATATCAACTTGGAGAATACTATTTTTATGGAATAGGAACTAAAAAAAATGTAATTAAAGCAGTTGAAATGTATAAAGAAGCAGCTGGAAGAGGTGACGTCAATGCAATAAATGATCTTGGATATTGTTACCAACATGGAATTGGAACTGAAAAAGATGAAATTAATGCATTTGAATTATATAAAATAGCAGCTGAAAAAGGTGATATTACTTCAATGAATAATCTTGGGGAATGTTATCAACGTGGAATTGGGACCATGAAAGATGAGATAAAAGCGTTTGAATTATATAAGGAATTAGCTGAAGAAGGCCATACATATTCAATATATGATCTTGGGTATTGTTATCAACATGGAATAGGAACTGAAAAAAATGAAACCAAAGCACTTGAATTATATAAAGTAGTTGAAAAAGAAATGGATAATATTGGGAAAAGCTATCAACATGAAATTAAGACCGAAAAAGACGAAATTAAAGCATTTGAATTATTTAAAAAAGCAGCTGAAAAGGGTCATATTGCTTCAATATATCAACTTGGTGAATGTCATTATTATGGTATCGGAACCGGAAAAAATGAGAAGAAAGCATTTGAATTGTATAAAAAAGGAAACGAAAAAGATCATACTAATTCGATATTTATGCTTGGACATTGTTATCAATATGGAATAGGGACTAGAATGACGAGTGAGATTATGGCCTTTGAATACTACAAAATAGCAGCTGAAAAAGGTCACGTCAGTTCAATAAGTAATCTTGGATATTGTTATCAATTTGGAATAGGAACCAAAAAAAATGAAATTAAAGCATTGGAATTATATAAAAAAGCGGCTGAAAGAGGTAATGAACAACATACTCAAATAACTTATAGCTTCAGTAATGTGATCTTTAATTATAATGAAATGTTCAATCAGCCGTCATTATGTACTTCAAAGAAAAATACTGCGGAAAATAACGATAATTTCATGGACTTAAATTATGAAGGGATATCCGGTCAATCGTCATCACGTACTTTGAAGAATATTACTAGTGAACAAATCATTAAACAATTTAAACTGAATCATGGAATAATTTTAACTGAAGAAAATATACGGCCAAGTATACGAGCTATTATCGTTGAAGATGGAGTATTGAAAATGAATTTATATACAGGGCAACCTTTAATATACAAGTGTATTAATTATAATGATCATAATGAGGGCAAGCCATTGGATATGTGCATCAATTTTCCAATTGCCAAAATTATTTATAATGGGGATTTGGTTAATTCTTTTGGGTATTATGACGAATCAACATATGGCCATTTTCTTGCAAGAAAATTTTTGGCTGGCGGACAATTATTTATCAAAGATTTTAATTTAGCCACTTCTGCACAAATTAATATTTTAAAATTTTATTTATTCTTTATATATAATTCAGCTAAATGTTCTGCGAAAATACAATTTAATAATTTATTCGACTTGGATCTTTTACCAAAAATAATAACGATGGATGGAGAAGAGCTAAATACTCACAAAAAATTAACCAAGTGGATGGATGACTTGTATCAGAAGAAAACAGCTACTATAATTTCTTACAATAATCTCATCCCAATTAATCAATTAAGATACAGTACATTATCAATAGATAACCTTGAATCATTTAACGAAAAACAACCTGGAGTTGCTAATTTTAAAGAAAGGTTAACTTTAGAAGAGTGGATTGGAGATGAAGTCTATGATAATCTAGTAAGCTGGACCGAAGATTTTCAACTTTTTCAAGGATTAATAATAAATGGAGATTACGAAATAACAATTAGCAAGGAAATTGCCGTAAATTTTATTGAAGTTCCTGAAGTCAATTTAAGTGAAAAAGTTTATTCGAAGAAAATTAAGCCATCAACAAATATGGAAGTGATTTTGATCTCCAATAATATTTTTTCGATTAAAGATTTAAGTACTTTTCCGTTTATTAAAAGTAATACAAAGGAATATGAGGATTATGCTCATATTCTATTAAAATGTGAGCGATATGAAATCCTCTTAGATGAGAATCATATTAAACCCACAAAAGAATTTGAACAATTAATAGAAAATGCACTTAATAGTATGAGGCCATTAGAAGCTCTACAAAATATCTTCAATGAATATGGTCATTTATTTCCTCAAAAAATTATCTTGGGAAGGTCTCTTAAAAATATTTTATCAGAAAAAAGTACTTTTAAAAATCCAGATATGATACCCACGACATCCTATGATACTGATATCGACATGATTAACGTTAATTCAGAATTAAAAATTTCAGATATTTCAAATCTTTCATATTTGTTGACACAAGAAGGAGAAGTTGTTGAAAAGAATGATATACATAATTGGATTAATGCGAATAATAATTTGGAAGTTATTGAATTTGATAATATTATTCCATTATATAAAATTTTAAAAGTAGAACAACAAAGAAAAATAGATGATATATTAAAAAATGATCATAGAATTATAATGACAGGCATTACTGATTTGAAAGATTTAGATAATAAAAATGCCGTGCATTACAAACGCATAAATTTAAATCCGCAATCATTATTGGAAGATGAGGATTATGAAGTATTTGGATCAATAATTTCAGGAGATAATACGGTATTTGCTTATGTTAATTTTGGATTATATGACATTAATGGATTCTATGCAATAATAAAAAAATTGGAAGGAACGAATGTTGATATAACAAAGTGTGATGTTTTATGGATGATCGTTGGAAATCCATCAAAACTGTTAGTTCTTAGTCCAAAGAATCGAGAACTTCAAGTTGGTTGCATTAAAAAGTCTATTACAATACAATTCGATAAATCAAACTATTGCATAAAATCACCTTTTCCATTATCTCATGGATATACTATTTCCGTTTATGCATATTACTCCTCAACAAATTATGAGCCTATTAATATTAAACTATTCGAATGGAATAAAGAGTATATCAATTTTCAAATAAAATATAATAAATCAAATATAATTACTTTCAGTGATACTCAACTTGATGAAGAAATAGATTTACATATTTGTTTTCTGTCTACAATTGATAAAAATTTGAAGATTGATTATGAAATAATAGAATTTCCTTTAGATTTAGTCGGATATACTTTAAGCAAAGAAAATTTTAATGGTAAATTACCGAGTGAAATTGCAAGTGACAGTGTCATTGAAATGAACAATGACATTGAAATGGACATGAAGTATGTTAACTTTATATAATACTTTCTTTGTATTAATTATTAATATTTACAAATATATATTTTTAGTTATGAATTATCGAATGAATTTACAGCTACAAGAGACAGTGACATTGAAATGGATATAAAGTATGTTGATTTTATATAATACTTTTTTTTTGTATTAATTATTAATATTTACAATTTGTTATATATATATATTTTTAGTTATGAATTATCGAGTGAAATTGAATCTACAGCTACAAATGACAGTGACATTGAAATGGACAAGTATGTAATTTTATATGATACTTTCTTTGTATTAATTACTAGTATTTAGTATTTACAATTTGTTATATATATTTATATATTTTAGTAATGATCAATTAACAATTGGAACATCACATCGAACGAATATAAATAAGTATGATTCTCAGGTACCTCGTAAAAAGTCGAATAGTAATATTAATACAAAAGGTATTTGTTTTTTTAATATTATGCAATTATTTAGTTAGTTTATTCTATTTGCGCTTTAATTTATATTTGTATTTGAAAAAAAATTCTATATTAATTAAATTATTTTTTATCCTTTATTTCCTTAAGAAAAAGGACGCTACAGTACTTCAGAACTTATTGAAGTCCTAACCTTTATTAATGATAACTTTGATTTATGGAATGCAAGTCCTCCTATTGCTTGCAGTAAAGCAATTGAAGCAACTAATATTAATCGAGATAGTACATCAGTTTATAAAAAAATTCATTCTTTGATTAGAAACGTAAGTGAATATTTTGAAACTGGTAAAAAGTCATCACCTAATGCTATGATTTGGAAAGAGAAAAAAATTTATGATCTGGTAGAGAAAATTTGGAAAAATAAGAAAAGCGAGGGTGATAATGAAATTAATTTTGAAAAATATTATGATAATAAAACTAAAATTAGAAAGAAAGTTGAAGAAGAAATCGACATAAAAACTGAAATGACTGATGAAGTAATTCAGAATTTCATAGACCAAGTAAGAAAGGAAAGTGAAGAAAAAATTGTTGAAAAGAGGAAAATGGAAGAAAAAATTATAGCCAAAGAAAAAATTATTAAAATAAAGGAAATGGAAGTAGAAATTATCCAAATGGTTAGAAATATTAATAATAAATATAAACAATTAAAAGAAATTCAATGACGGAAGTTACAACCAACCTTTCGTCACGGGCATTTCAATGATCTAGTTTGCAGAAGTTGTCTTAGGTAGATGGCTAGGATTTCACCTTATTTATCTAATATAGTATTTACTGATTGATTCAATTTTTATAAGTTTTATCAGTTATTTTTTTTTATAAATTATTAAATTATATACTCACGTCTTTTGTAAGAAAAATTATAACATGTATAAGTTTTTTTTTTAATTACGATAAGACAATAAACAAATTTAGCAACACTATATAATAATCTTGTGAAAAAATTCCTTGTTTCTAATTTTTTGAAAGGATCCCTTCATCAAAGAAGTAAGTAGTATTTAACAATTTTTTTAATTTTTTTTATTACAGATTGACAGAATTATTAAAGAGAAATGAAAAGTGGTCAAACTCTGATAAAAATTCGGCGGTAAAAATATTGGTTTTTATTGTAATTTAGTTGGAAAATTCATTTCAAAATCGAACATGAGCAAATAAAATAATATGCATCTTTCTTTTATAATAAATCCTCAAAATGATATTAATAACGACCTTCTTAAGAAGATATCATCTTTTTAAATCATATAGTGAGTCGAAAAATGTCCCAACTGCCCGTTGCTTTACGCTATATTAAGTAATACCAGCTCTGAGATGCTGCGGTAAATTACATCATAATGTGTATACGGACCTAAAATAAATGCAAGCTATAAAGAAATAAGCATAAAATTCGTTTACCATAAAATGAAATAAAAAAATTGCATTTCGTGGATTGGTTATGACTAGAGAGCGCAGAGTGTTACAGAAGGGAGTATGGTCGGTATTACAAAAAGGAGTACGGTCTGGTCGGCGTGTTTTGAGTAGCGTGCTACGGAAAGTCGATGAGTAGAGTATGGACCCCTATTTATTTATTTATTTATTTTATTTTATGTGAAGTTGGCAAGGTAAACAAAAAGACATGAACGATATAAAAAGTCTAACATAGAACCTGTCATCCATCGAGGCCAAAGCGAGTATGGACCCCTATGTGACAGTTTACTTGAGTTAAATAACACGACGGGCCAAACACGTGATTTTAAGTGGGCCGAGATGCTATTCATCACCTGAACCCAATTTTATTACATCACGTGACACGTATAAATATCTAATTGGCCGATAATACGCTACGCTTCGGATAATTAAAGCTTATGCTGGAGCGCGTATAGACTTTTTTATTTTTAAACTTATTTAAGAAGTTTCTTTTAATACAATATCATGTACTCTATTTGCCAATCATTTGGAGGTATGATATTAAAGTCAAATAACTAATAATAAATCAAATATAATTACTTCCAATGGAACTAATTCAGAGATCCCACATTTGGTTTTTCTTTGACTAAAGTGATCTGCTAAAAATTAGCTTAATTTAATGTTTTAAGCGATTTGATCTATAAATTAATACAATCAATAAAATTAATATTAATAATGAACCAGTTCTCACTTTAAAATGAACAACCAAATTATCCTAAATGTCGAAAGGGGAAATAACACGAAGATAGAGGCTATTGAACATCATGAAGTGTGTCTTGCAAGTAAACGTAAAAAAAATATGACAGAAATGGGCAAATATTTCACTGTAATTCTTGGGGAAAAGCTTTTTCTTAGAGTTTGTAACCGTCCTAAAAAACCTTAACCTCCGGTTAATAACCGGTTAATTATAAATGAACGGATTTGGCCCACATTATGCTTAATTTTGTCCAGAATTATGATTACTTTTTTGGCCAACAACCATAAAATTTATGATATATTTCTTTTATTTATTTTATTTATTTTTAAATCAAATACATTCTTATTTTACATTTCAAAAAAATCACTTTTAATTTCTAATACACTCATAATATATAAAAACTATTAATTTATAAAAATAATTTAATGTTATTTCATTTCTAAATTTTGTAAAATAAAATCAGTTAGTTTATTATTTAATATAAAGTACTGTATATTAATATATAATAAAAATATTTACCTTGTTTTACATTGAAATTTTTTATTTTCAAGTTTTGTGAAGTACCTCCACACATCCATACAAAAGTTTTTATTTTTGCCTGATTTTAATTTTTTGTTACTTTGGTCAGCAGATGTTGTTGAAAAAGAAAAACTTTTAGATGTTGAGGTAGATAGTGCTGCTGAGATTGTTCAGAAGGAGTTTCTACTACATCTATAATTTAAAAATTCAGAAAAGTTGTCATACTCAGACATAAGTATTACTTATAAAAAAATAAATTAAAATCTTAAATAAACTTAAGAAAAAATATTTTAAAGTGAATTTTTTATTAATATTAAATAAATGTATAATTTTTTATTAATTTAAAATAAAAAAAAAAGAATTTTTTTCGTTAACGTAAAAAATCATGTATTTAAAAAGCTGCAAGAAATTCTCCGATATATTTGTGTATCGGATAATTTTGTATCAAAATATGATAATGGTCAACTTTATCTTAATGCATTATCACATGTATTATCCCAATGTAGGATTATCATGTGACTGTCAAATAGAATTTTCCAGATGTATACTATAATGGTTCTGTATGCTCATATATTCAACGTAGCGTTTATGTATTTTTTTTTTTTCTTTCCTTTTATTTTAAATTTAATTTATCGAGTCACAATACTTTTTAAAAAGTTTATTATGAATCTTGATTAATGATCCGCTTATCAATACAAAAATTAATGATGTTAGGTCAGTCAGGTTGAAACATAATAAAAATTAATTCATATTATCACAATATCAGAATCCATAGAGTGACGAATAGGGTTTGGGTATGTGGATTTTTGTAAGGTAGTTCACAAAGTATTTATTTTCATTCAAATTTTCTCTGGTTAAAATAAATCTTGACAAGTTTAAAGATCATTTTCTTTCTTCATAATCAATCCTTAAATTTTGATAATCTCTAGGATACAAATATGTAAATATTGATTATATGTCAAGTTAAGTGACATTGAAATTAATTGTATTTAATTTATTATGAAATATTTGGACATCAATAGACTCATCACTCCATTCGACTTAATTTAATTCATGATTTTGCCCTATAAGAATGAAATGTGTTAAATTTGTGTTCATGCGTAAAAAACGTCCAAAAAAGCACCATTTTGTCCGATTTATGTCTTATTACAAAAAAACAAAAATTAAACAAAATGGTGCTTTTTTAGACATTTATTACACATGAGCACAAATATTAAACAATTTAACTCATTTCGTTTTTATAGGGTTTGAAGAGTAATATACATGAACGGAAATAAATATTCATAAATACAACGTTATCATTTATAGTACAGTAAATAAAATACACACTTATTTCAATTTATTTTATTATCAATGATATTTTTTTTTATTTATTTATTTCTTCAATAATTAGCATTATTATTATGCAGGCTAAGATATCATTATTGATCGAGAAATCATATTTATTACTTCCTAGCTAATATCAGCAGACAGACATTTTTTTTTATCTTTGTTGTTTTAAGAAGACGATACATTAGTATCATCTTGAGAAAGTAATAATCATTTGAGAAAATATTGCATTTTCAGATGATAACTTTTCTCTTTTTTGAGTATCAAAAGTTTCTTAGTTTATTTTTAGAGAGTAGTTAATAGAGCCAACACTTTTTATATACATACAGTGTGCATATCATACGCTCAAAAAAAAAATTTGATTTACATCATAAAATCACTCAAATATTGTCATTAGGGATCACGAAAGTTTGAAAAAACCGAACTGATCATCTCGGTTTAAACTAAGTTTTCGTAAAACTCAGCTTGAAAAATGGAACCGATATGAAACGGTTTAAAATTCTGTTTAAACTAAATATATAAATTTAAAATCAGTTTATCCAATCAAAAAGTATAATTACCTTAGTTTATTAATCACTTTAACAATTCTATATCATTGTTTTAAGAAATTTATATTTTTTATTTTAAATGCGGTAATTAAGTGGTAATTATCTTGGCTAAAATTAAGCATAGTGCTGGCCAAGAAAGAACACAATTCAGGCCAAAAACTGTCCGATTAAGTTGATATATAATCGGTTTGGAACTGACATAAGAAACTAGGTTTCCAAGTTTGTATAATGAAACCGAACTGGAACCGAACTTAAACTGCGTAAAACAGAACTGTGTGATTCCTAATTGTCATGAATAATTTGATATCAAAAATTCAGCAGTATAGAATTATTTTTATGACAGAATGATACAAATTTTAATACTCAATTTCAGTATATAACTAGTAAAAATCTGAAAAATGCTTTAAATTACAAAAATGAATGCAGTTTACTCAATACAAGTCAAATTTTTATCATTTAAAAATGCAATATATTCAATTTATATTTGACACTAACAGTACTAAATTAATTTCTTATATTAATTTATAATTGATGAAATCTATAGGCTTCCAAGCTATTTAACATTACAGTAACATCAAAATTAAACGATATCGCTAATGGTCTCATTTTGATATCGTAACAATTACCAAATTGTATTATAACAATATGCTATCGTTACGTCGGTTACGATGTAATTATGCATGATTTTGCTATATTATTTTGATATCGTTTTGTAAATATTGTTAATGTCAGTTCTTTGGTATTTATTAGAATAAATGAAAATCAATTATGTAAGCAGAAGGAATATATGTACGAATAAAGGTAAATAAAAATAAAAATAAATAAATGCAGTTTTAACTATAAATACGATCAACGAAATTAATTATAAATCCGATAAAGTATAGCTTCCAACCAGCATATACAATCAGACACAAATAAAGGATTTATGACAATAAAATACAGATTAAGTGTATATGATAATGAGATAACCAAACAAATAAAAATTTATTTATCTATTAATAAACTTTATGTATTTAGAACGTTATCTATCTTATTTCATCAACAATAAATGCGTTTACATATTATGCCATATGTGAGATATATTTAATATACTAGGAAACGGAAGCCGTTTAAGTCCTTCGCGTTGCATAACTCGCAAGTGTTACGTGCCATTTATTTATTTGGCATATTTCAGGGGTCAAATAGGTACTAATGTCCGAGTATGTACATAAATAATTGTCGATCGTGACAGGACAAAAAACGGGGGTTAAACCAAATTTTGCTAGTTCAGTACATACCGTAACAATATTAAAATGATGTCGCTTAATATATTAT